TGTTTTTCAACCAAATTCGCTGAAAGTTGGTACATTTGGTTCTTATTGAGTACCACATATTTCCACTAAAATAAATAAATATTGGTCCATTTTTTCTGGTAGCCCCCATATAGGGGCACCACCAAATTTTTCGGTATTTTATGGTTCTTGAGCGTGTTTTTCAACCAATTCGCTGAAATTTGGTACAATGGGTTCTTATTGGGTACCAAATGTCTCTACTAAAAATAATAAATATAGATCCACTTTTTCTGATAGCCCCCATATAACGGTAGCCGCCCAAGATTTTCGGTATTTTGGGATCCTTAAGCGCATTTTCAACCGAATTCACTGAAATTTGGTACAATGGGTTCTTATTGGGTATTAAAAATGTTGACTTTGGCTTGTCAAAATCCTTCAGACGAAGGATGAAAAATGAAAAAATAGGTCCTCTTCTATAAGAATACCTTCTGGCCCCCTATGAGAACTGCTTCTTGTCTTCTATGAGAAGACCTTCAGGTATTTTTTGAAATGAAGAGTTTCTATTCATCTATAAAAAGAAGGCCCTATGGTCTTCTATGAGAAGACTTTCTGTGGTCTCCTATAAGAGGACATATTTGGTCTTCTACGATGAGACTTTCTCGTATGAAAATGAGTAGTTCTTCTGGTCTTATATAGGGAGATCTCCTGATCTTCTTGTAGAAGATCTCCAGGTCTTCTATAAAAAATACCTTCTAATATTCTATAAAAATAAATTCTGTTGGCCTATGAGAAGACCTTCTGGTCGTAGAAAAAAACTTCAGTATTTTTAGGAATATCCTCCTCCCCTTGTCTTCTTTAGGAATATATATTCTAGGCACTTCTGAACTGTAGGTTTTGGTACATTTCATTTTTTAAAATTAAACCGTCAGAACCTCATCTCTGTAATGTAGGCTAACAGTGATATTAGTATATGTCACCCTGTTACTTAAAGAAAGGATTGTGTGTTATAACAGGGCGACCATAAATGTTATCATTTTTAGTACATCATTGAAAATACACCATTTCACCACGTATGGTTAGTTAACATGTTAGCCAAGTTCCAAACCATCAACCATTTATTTGTTAGCAAATTCCACAACCGTCATAATGACAACATTCACTACAGACTGTTAACTGCAGTAAAATAAGCCCGCCTTTAACTCACACGAGTTGAGCGCATGGCAGAGGCCGTGATTACACAGACAGGTCGTCATCATATGGTTGTAAATGATGTTTTAATAGCATCATGGTCTGGGGAATCGAAAATTCCTTATGTGGATGAAATCCCTTTGTTAGTCTACCTATATTAAGAACCCAGAAGGACAAATTCGCCATAGGTCAAGCTATGGAGCTATGTCTAAATTAAATTTTAGAAGAAAACGTTTGTTTGTTTGGTTGGGGCTATTGTAGAATAATTTTGGGAATGAGGAATAAATCGAATGAGGAATGTTTTTTGTGAAACATATCGAGTCCTTGGACATTTTTATACCCTCCACCATAGCATGGAGGGTATATACATTTTGTTTTTCCGTTTCTAACGCATCGAAATAATCATTTCTGACCCTATTAAGTATATATTAGGTGGGAAAGTGAACAATTCGATTCATTTTACAGTTTGACAAATGCGAAAATGCAAGTCAAGCGGCTAAAATTGTGAATGGTGTTTATGATTCCGATACTGTAACAGGCAATTATGTGCAATTTTGGTTTCGTAGATTCCGTTCAGGAATTTTTGTTGTTAAAGATGCACCTCGGACAGGTCTTCGAAAAAATGCCGATAAAATCGGTGAAAGGATCGAAGTTAACGGGGCATGTTAGCAGTCGTAACATCGCTCAGAATCTAAAAACCGACCATAAAACTGTTTTAAACCATTTACACAAAGCTGGATTCAAAAAGAAGTTCGATATCTGGGTGCCACACCAATTAACAGAAAAAATAGGATGGATCGAATTTTCATCTGCGAAGCCTTGGCCAAAAGCAATGAGGTAGACCCATTTCTTAAACGGATGGTTTACTGGAGATAAGAAATGGATCACATACTACGATAACCCTGTGCAACACTGATCGTGGTCAAAGAGCGGTGAAGCGCACCTCAAACGATGGCCAAACCAAGACTAACGGCCAGGAAGGTTCTGCTATGTATTTGGTAGGAGTGGAAGGGTATAATTTGTTGTAAATTGCTTCCATATGGCCAAACGCTAAATTCTGATCTCTATTTTCAACAACCGGACCGCTGTTTGGAGACAGCAATTGACCAGAAACTGACAAAATTGGCCAACAGGAGAGGTGTCGTGTTCCACCAGGACAATTCTAGGCCACACACATCTACAATGACTCGCCAGAAACTTCTGGAGTTTGGTTGAGAAGTTTTAATGCATCCACCATATAGTCCGGACTTGGCACCAAGCGATTACAATATTTTTTCTTGCATGGTAAAATTTCTTTAATGATACAAAATTTGGTATCTAGGGCGGATTGTGAAAATCGACTACTCGAGTATTATGAGTAGGCCAAACGCTAAATTCGGATCTCTACTCTCATCAGCTATTGACCAGAAACAGCCAGAATTGGCCAACAGGAGAGGTGTCGTGTTCCACCAGGACAACGCTAGGCCACACACATCTACAGAGACTCGCCAGAAACCTCGGGAGTTTTAATGCATCCGCCATTGACACCCAGCGATTATATTTTTCTTGCATTGCGAAATTTCTTTAATGATAACAAAATTTGGTATCTAGGGAGGATTGTGAAAATCGACTACTAGTTTTTTTTTTGCAAATAAAGTCCTATAGTTCATACAAAAATAATGGATTTCCTCCCCCAACCTAATATATTCTTGATCGGCGTAAAATTCTATTCCGATCTAAGCATGTCCGTATGTCCGCCTGTCTGTTGTAATCTCTCTAGCCTCTAAACGAATTGAATTGCCAAAATTTTGCATAGAGTCATTTTTTTTTCTGAAGGCAGGTGAAGTTCGAAGATGGGCTATATCAGTCCATGTTAGCTATACCTCCTTATAAGGGTGCCCTCCCATTTTCTATATTTTGAGATTCCTAAGCGCATTTTCAATCGAATTCGTTGAAATTTGGTACGATGGGTTCTTATTGGGTACCAAATGTCTCAACTACAAATTATCAATATTGCTTCACTTTTTCCGGTAGCCCCCATATAGCGGTACGCTACAAATTTCGGTATTTTGGGGTTCTTAGGCGCGTTTTTCAACCGAATTCGCTGAAATTTGGTACAATGGGTTCTTATTGAGTTCCAAATGTCTCCACTAAAAATTATCAATATCGGTCCACTTTTACTGGTACCCTATAAGGTATCGCCCAATTTTATGGGGGTTTTATGGGGTTCTTGAGCGTGTTTTTTAACCGAATTCGTTGAAGTTTGGTGCATTGGGTTCTTATTGGGTAACAAATCTCTCCACTAAAAACAATATATATAGTTCCACTTTTTTCCGGTAGAACCCATATAACGGTACACGCCAATTTTCGGTATTTTGAGGTTCTTGAGCGCGTTTTCCAACCGAATACGCTGAAATTTGGTACGTTGGGTTATTATTGGGTATCAAATATCCCCACTAAAAATTATAAATATCGGTCCACATTTTCTGGTAGCTGTCATATAAGTGAACCACCCAATTTTCGGTATTTTGAGGTTCTAGAGCGCGTTTTCAGCCGAATTCGTTGAAATTTACTACATAGGGTTCTTATTGAATACTAAAAATCTCCACTAAAAATTATAAATATCGATCCACTTATTCTGGTAGCCCCCATATAATGATACTCGCCAATTTTCGATATTTAAGGATTCTTAAGCGTGGGTTCTTATTGAGTACTAAAGGTCTACACAAAAAATTATTAATATCGGTCCACTTACTGGTAGCCCCCATATAACGGTACCACACAATTTTCGATATTTTGGGGGTTCTTGAGCGAGTTTTTCAATCGAATTGGCTGAAATTTGGTACATAGGTTTCTTATTGAGTTCTAAAGGTCTCCACTAAAAATTATAAATATCGGTCCACTTTTTCTGTTAGCCCCCTTATAAGGGAACCACCCAATTTTCGATACCTTAGGGTCATTGAGCGCGTTTTCCAACCGAATACGCGGAAAATTGGGTTCTAATTGAGTACCAAATGTCTTCACTAAAAATTATAAATATCGGTCCCCTCTTCTTGTAGCCCTCATATAATCGTAACCCCCATTTTCGATATTTTGCAATTCTTAAGTGCATTATTCAACAGAATTGGCTGAAATTTGGTACAATGGGTTCTTATTAAATGTCTCCACTAAAAATTATAAATATTGTTCCACTTTTTCCGGTAGCCCCCATATAACGGCACCCCTCAATTTTCGATATTTTAGGGTTCTTGAGCGCGTCTTTCAACCGATTTGCTGAAATTTGGTACATTGGGTAGAACTTTTTTACCAATCCTAGATCAAGTCCGAACATTATGTGGGGCAGGGTGCACCCATTGGCCCCACCTTCAAACTGTATAGAGGTCTAGTAAATTATTATAATCGATATGTCCAGTTCGCTGATTATTGAATTTAAATTTTTGTTATCTACGATATTTAAAATTTTTAACCCTTTTTAAGAAGAAGGTACTACAATGTGTAGTCCAATAGGATGACAGGGCTTCTATAGACCTTAAAAAAATTTAAAAATCCAAGCCTCCTACTTATAGTCCTTGAAAAAAAAATATTAAAATAAATCTCAATCTCCTCCATATAGTCCTCTAAACATTTTAGGGGGAAGGAACTAGAATGATTAGTCCAATAGGATGACAGGGCTCCTATAGACCTTAAAAAATATTTAAAAAATCCAAGCCTCCTACTTATAGTCCTTGAAAAAAAAAAAAAATATTTAAAAAATCTCAATCTCCTTAAAATTTAAAATTTTTTTAAAAAATCCTCGCCTCTTACAGGCCGCTAATATGACTAGATTTATTTGCTATTTAAGGTTCCAAATTTGAATATTCTTAATTTTAACTTCTAATCAACTTACCTGTAATTCAGATTCGGTAACATCAATTTCACCGCGATATACAAAATCAATGATGGTTTTCAAATCTGTGAATATAATATCGCCCGGCAATATAATCGTTGGATGTTTGCAGGGATTCTCCAACAGAAGCTTTTGAAAATATGATGAACAAGCGGATAGGACCACCTGGAAGAGAAAATAGAAAATATGCATTAATATGAGTAAACCTCAAATCGTATTCAAGTGCACATACCTTGTGGGCCTTGAGTGAACCATGTTCACAGGAGAGGGTGACATCGACAAACGATAGATCCTCGCGCAACTGTTGGAACACCGAAGTCATGGTGTTCTGATAGTTGTTCCATCGTAAACTAAAATATTGATGACTTCGTTGAGCCATTTTGTTGCCGTTGTTTTTCTTTTTGTTGCTGGTATTTTGTTGTAATTGTTGTTATAGAGGGGTTTGTTGTTGTTTTTGTTGCCTTGCCTTAAGTTGGCGTCACGTTGTTGTTGTAGCTCTTCTTCTTGTTGTTCTTTTTTTCTACTATTTAATTGATCGAAATAGTAGTATTTGTTTGATATAATGACGATGCTGAGCTGCTAAATTGTTGTCTGCTCTACAGCGTACGTTCGGGTGTAGTCACTTGGCTTAGTGAAATAATAGTTGTATGCGCTGGTGCTGTTATGCAAATTCTCTTTCGATACAAAATTTCCAATTTTTTGTATATAAATTTTAATTCAGTTTTGTTGTTACGATGATTTCTTGTTGTTGTTTTAATTCAATAATACGTTCTGAAAGAAGAAAGAAATAAAAAAAAAATTATTAATAAAAAATGTAAAAAAAATATTAAAAAAAATACTAAAAGGCCATAAAAAATCTGTTGGTAAAAATCGGCGCAAGGTAATAGACCAGTTTCAGAAAATTTACATTTCATTCAAACTTTGCCCATCTTATTATTTCTTCCAAACTTAGTTCAATTTCGAAGATGGGGAATATCGATCCACTCCTTCTGGAATCTCCCACACAGTGGCTAGGCCTAAATGCGGGCTATATTTCATATATCGAAACTTACGTTCTAGTTATTTATCTCGATATCCTCCGCAGGCGAAATGATTACAATAGAGACTGATTTAACGATTCATCAACGCCCAGACGAAACGGCTGAAGCTAGAATCTTGAAATTTTGGGTGAGGGTCACTCTTGGTCCAAAGGTGACAGATAAGGCTGGGTTTTTGGAAATTCGTACTAGAACGGTACGAAAAGTACTAAATGTGATTCCATTTGTATTTGGCAAACCGGTGGAATTTGGATTGGAGATCGCTTATGGAGTGTAGGATAGATGTACCAAAGGGTTTTTTGGAAATTCGAACTATAACTATCCGAAAAGTACTAAAATGTACTTAATTTGGTACAATTTCGTAGCCTGTGATTAGTTCTATCCATTCACAGGCTTGAAATTTGGACTGCGAATTAGGATTGAGATGTACGGTCAATTTAAGGAGATGGTTTTGAAAACGTGTACTCATGTGTACGAAAAATACTATATGGTACTATATTTGGTACACATTTAATTTGGAGATACAAATCGAACTGGAATCCTGAAAATTGAAATTAACATTACAGTCGGAATGTAGGATTGAAATTTGTACCTAGTTTTGGAACTTTTTTACTTATGTGTACGAAAAGTTCTAATTCGTACTATAATTGGTACAATTTGGATTTGGGTGAACCGATAGAGTGCGAACAATGAAATTTGGAGTCAGGATCACTGTAGGGGTGTGGGATTGGGGTCAGGATTCAGTTTAAGAAAATAATACTTATGGGTACTAAAAGGTACTAAATTTGGTACAATTTAAATTTTTTGGTGAACCAATAGAGCCAGAATCATGAAATTTGGAGTCAGGATCATTGTTGAGGTGTAAGATTGAGATATGTATAAAGAAATTTGTACTGATGGGTACCAAATTTGGTACAATTTGAATTTTAGGTGAACCAATAGAGTTGGAATTTGGAGATAAAAATCGAGCTGGAATCCTGAAATTTGAAATTAACATTACAGTCGGAATGTAGGATTGGAATATGTACGTAGTTTTGGAACTTTTTTTACTTATATGTACGAAAAGTACTAAATCGTACTATAATTGGTACAATATGGATTTGGGTGAACCGATAGAGCTGGAACAATGAAATGTTGAGTTAGGATCATTGTAGGGATGTAGGATTAGGGTAGGATTCAGTTTAACAAATTAATACTTAGGGGTACTAAATGGTACTAAATTTGGTACAAATTGAATTTTAGGTGAACCAATAGAGCAAGAAACATGAAATTTGGAGTCAGGATCATTGTTGAGGTGTAAGATTGAGATATGTAGGAAGTTTTAAAAATTTGTACTAATGTGTACTAAATTTCGTACAATTTAAGTTGTGGATGAATCGATCAGAATCCTGAAATTTAAATTTTGGATCACTGTGGGGGTTTTGGTTCGGGTTAAGTTGGAAGTTTTTGAAATTCGTACTACTGTGTACTAAATTTGGTCCAATTTAAATTGTGGGTGAAGCGATAGAGTTGTAATCCTGAAACGTGGATTTAGAATTACTATGGGAGTGTAGGTTTGGGGTAGGAAGGAGGTTTTGGAAATAAGTACTACTGTGTACTAAATTTGGTACAATTTAAGTTGTGGATGAAGCGATAGAGTTGGAATCCTGAAACTTGGATTTAGGATGACTGTGAGAGTGTAGGTTTGGGGTATGTAGGAAGTTTTGGAAAATGGTACTACTGTGTACTAAATTTGGTACAATTTGAATTTTAGGCGAACCAATAGAGCTAGAATAATGAAATTTGGAGTCAGGATCACTGTTGAGTTGTAAGATTGAGATATGTATGAAGAAATTTATACTAATGGGTACCAAATTTGGTACCATTTGAATTTTGAGTGAACCAATGGCGTTGGAATTTGGAGATACAAATCGAGCTGGAGTCCTGAAATTTTAAATGAACATTACAGTCGGAATGTATGATTGGAATATGTACGTAGTTTTGGAACTTTTTTACTTATGTGAACGAAAAGTACTAAATCGTACTACAATTGGTACAATTTGGATTTGGGTGAACCGATGGAGCGGGGATAATGGAATTTGATGTCAGGATCACTGTTGGGGTGTGGGATTGAGGTTCAGGACTCAGTTTAAGACATTATTATTTATGGGTACTAAAAGGTACTAAATTTGGTACAATTTGAATTTTAGGCGAACCAATAGAGCTAGAATAATGAAATTTGGAGTCAGGATCACTGTTGAGTTGTAAGATTGAGATATGTATGAAGACATTTGTACTGATGGGTACCAAATTTGGTACCATTTGAATTGTGAGTGAACCAATAGAGTTAGAATTTGGAGACACAAATCGAGCTGGAATCCTGAAATTTTAAATTAACATTACAGTCGGAATGTAGGATTGAGATATGAACGTAGTTTTGGAACTTTTTTACTTATGTGTACGAAAAGTACTAAATCGTACTATAATTCGTACAATTTGGAATTGGGTGAAGCGATAGAGCGCGAACAATGGAATTTGAAGTTAGGATCATTGTGGAGGTGTAGGATTGGGGTTTGGGACTCAGTTTAAGACATTATTACTTATCGGTGGTACTAAATGGTACTAAATTTGGTACAATTTGAATTTTAGGTGAACCAATAGAGCAAGAAACATGAAATTTGGAGTCAGGATCACTGTTGAGTTGTAAGATTGAGATATGTATGAAGACATTTGTACTAATGTGTACCAAATTTGGTACAATTTGAATTTTAGGTGAACCAATAGAGTTGGAATTTGGAGATACAAATCGAGCTGGAATTCTGAAATTTGACATTAACATTACAGTCGGAATGTAGGATTGGAATATGTACGTAGTTTTGCGACTTTTTTTACTTATGTGTACGAAAAGTACTAAATCGTACTATAATTGGTACAATTTGGATTTGGGTGAACCGATAGAGCGCGAACAATGAAATTTGAGGTCAGGATCATTGTAGAGGTGTAGGATTGGGGTCAGGATTCAGTATAAGAAAATAACACTTATGGGTACTAAAAGGTACTAAATTTTGGTACAAGTTGAATTTTAGGTGAACCAATAGAGCTAGAATCATGAAATTTGGAGTCAGGATCATTGTTGAGGTGTAAGATTGAGATATGTAGGAAGTTTTAGAAATTTGTACTAATGTGTACTAAATTTCGTACAATTTAAGTTGTGGATGAAGCGATAGAGTTTGAATCCTGAAATTTGGATTTGGGATCACTGTGGGGGTGTAGAATTGGGGTATGTAGGTAGTTTTGGAAAATGGTACTACTGTGTACTAAATTTGGTACAATTTGAATTGTGGGTGAACTGATAGAGTTTCAATCCTGAAACATAGATTTCAGATCACTGTGGGGGTGTTGGCTTTGGGTAGAAAGGAGGTTTTGGAAATAAGTACTACTGTGTACTAAATTTGGTACAATTTAAGTTTTGGATGAAGCGATAGAGTTGGAATCCAGAAACCTGGATTTAGGATCACTATGGGTGTGTATGTTCGGTGTAAGAAGGACGTTTTTGAAATTCTTACTACTGTGTACTAAATTTAGTACAATTTGAATTGTGGGTGAACCGATAGAGTTGGAATCCTGAAATTTTAGGATCACTGTGGGGGTGTAAGAAGGAGGTTTTGGAAATTCGTACTACTGTGTACTAAATTTGGTCCATTTTAAATTGTGGGTGAATGATAGTGTTGGAATCCAGAAACCTGGATTTAGGATCACTATGGGTGTGTATGTTCGGTGTAAGAAGGACGTTTTTGAAATTCTTACTACTGTGTACTAAATTTAGTACAATTTGAATTGTGGGTGAACCGATAGAGTTGAAATCCTGAAATTTTAGGATCACTGTGGGGGTGTAAGAAGAAGGTTCTGGAAATTCGTACTACTTTGTACTAAATTTGGTACAATTTGAATTGTGGGTGAACCAATAGAGTTGGAATCCTGAAATTTGAATTTGGAATCAATGTGGGTGTGTTGGTTTGGGTTAAGTTGGAAGTTTTGGAAATTCGTACTACTGTGTATTTAATTTCGTACAATTTGAATTGTGGGTGAACCAATAGAGTTGGAATCCTGAAATTTGAATTTAGAATCATTGTGGGGGCGTAGGATCAGGGTTTGCAGGAAGTTTTGTTAGATGGTTGAGGAGGGTACTTATGGATACTAAGAGCGCGAATCATGAAATTTGGTACTAAGTGTTACTCAAATTTAATTTATGGTCGATATTAATGGGTGGATTCTTTTCTGACATATGCAATTTTCTGTGAAAATAAAATAATATGTTAATACATGTTTAAATATTTCCTACATTCGATCTTTACCGAAAACAATAGGGGTCTTTATTGGCCCGAACACATCCTATATGCAAAATTTCGTG